AATAGCAGGAGAGTTTTTTGAAGGACTCACTAAGTAGAAGTTTAATCTCCCCCTCTGATTTCCAAAGGCTTTCAACAAGGTCCAAAGACTCCTCAAAAGTTTCTGCAATGGGATAAGGGAGAAGGTCCTTTCCCTGCCAAGGGCAGGGGGGTTGGAACTCGATGATCTTTAAGGTCCCTTCCAAACTAAACCATTCCATGATTCTATGAACAAGTAATAGCTTGAAAACTCAGAAGATAGGAATAGCAGTCTTCGGAGTGAAGAGAGTTTAACTGTGGGACTGTGGAGTCCTAAATGTCTCCACAACTCATGCTACCTCGCACGTTTGTGCTAATAACCAAAGAAAGGTGATCATTAAAGAGCTCACCACATGTACTGACAATATCAAGTTACTCAGAACAGCAAAAATAGAAGCAGTTATTACAAGATACAACTTTCAAAACATACAGGGCAGCATAAAAGAAAGTACCAAGCAGTCTGCTGAACTTGCAGATAAGAATGAAATATTCGAGTACACTATGACAGTGGATACTGGTCAAGAAAGGCCAAGGGCCTGCCGCGCTATTAGCGTCACAAGAAAGTAAAATGGAGGCAGAGAAGGAGATGTTGCTGGCTGCAGAGGCTTACTTTCCACTGGGCTAAGCAAGAGCCAAAAAGAAATAAAGGAACACCTGGAAGGAAAATAATGAGCCTGCAACAACCTTCAGACCACAAACAGCAAAGTACGTTTCAGTAAACCAGAAAAAAGGGAGGAAAAACTCCACAAAAAACTAATTCTGAAATGTGACAGTAAACTAAACCTAAAAATTACTCCTCTGACTTCATCCAAAATAGATTGGCTACTAGTCTTTAAATTCCACTGAACTTAACAAGAGAAGGAACGAGAGCTGTATTCCTAAAATAGCAAAGCCCTGGAGACAAATGGCAAAAAAAGAATTTCACCCTTTTACACTAAGTCATTAGCTAGCACATGCTCCAGTACAGCAGTCTCACTGTTCATGTCTTACCTGTCCCAGAAAAGACTTGGCCAGACTAATACAGGGCTGGTTGAAAAAATCTGCTTCTAGCCGGGAAGAACTTTTTTTCTCTATTGCAAAATATTTGCTGCTTTTTGGAGAAGAATCCCCAGCAGGCGTAGCGTTCAGGTTCCCCAAGGCATCTAAAGGAGGGAGGCTGGAGTTGCTTTGGAGAGCACTTAATTGAGCCAACAGCTTTCTTTTTCTTGGCATAGTTCTAGAAAATTGATATAAACATAATTAGGAATATAAAGCTTATTTAAAAGTAACTCTTTTTCACAAACTCTCATTTTTACACATCTCTTCACAACAATGAATTTGAAAGCTGTAACTAATTGGACAACCTGGGCAAACTACAGAAGCAGGTGACAGATTTAGCTGTGTCTCCATCAGGCTACGCAAATATTGGGCTCTACTGATAAGCAAACAGAAAACTGCAGTTTCAGTATTAATCTTTTAAGGACTGCAGATAAAAAGCAACTCTGCTCCACTTAGAAGTAAAAATAAGTTTGCCGTTAGGTTAGGAAACTCAGAAATTGAAAACAAAGATGAACCAGGACTATATACTTTTTACCTAGAACTAACATAATCTGTTAAGCAGACAGAAGAGTTGTGCTGACTCAAAGTCCACAGAAGCGCTGTATCTATCATTTTACACAGTAATGCAACTGGATCAGAATCCAAAACTCCACAGGACACAGAGCATTTGAGTTGGGAGATGCCCTATTTACAGTCACAGTGACAAACTTGTTTATCACGCTGTAGAAATGTTTGTGTTAGAACCTCCACAAAATAAGCTTTAAATTCACCTACCAGAAAGATGAAGAGCAGTCTGTTCCAGTCAACAGTATGTATTTGAGAACACTACGTAACCTGAGATTGTTCTTCTAGGTTTGTCACCAATTTATTAAGTGAGCTTCAAAAAGTTAATGTTTCTTTTTCTGTGCTGCAGTCCTTATACCTGTCAAACAGGAACAAACTTATTCACTGTATAAAGCACTTTGAAATAGGCAAAGAAATTTTGGAGTCAGAGATCACTGTACAAACAGTGCATCATTAGCTCAAACTCAAGAACAATTTGCAGTTTTCTATTGATGTAGCAAAAGACCATCTCCCAGCTGGGGCATAGGGCTGGAGATGATCTTTAGCCTTTTTTTTTTTTTTTTTTTTTTTATAAAAAAGGCTATGAAAACAGTGGGGAATGCACTTTTCCTATAGTGAATACACAAAAAGCTGAAACCAAACTTTTTAAGTCCCCCACTGGCACTAAATTTGGAAAGCGTCAGCCTCAAAAAAGGACTCTTACAAGAGAATGCGAAGACACCAGGTTTTAGAAGCTGCCTGAAATTCAACCACATGAAGATATAAGGGGAAAAAAAGCAAAGGTTCAACATCATACATAATTAGAAATGGAGAAAGAATCCCATATACAGCTGAACCTGCAAGGGAAGTGTGTACATAATTAAGTAGCTGTTGCCACTCATTTTTCACCAGATCATCAGCTTTTAAAAATGACTATGAAAACCTTCACCATCAAAAGCAACATTTATCTGGCTCTGATGTTTCTCATGAAGAAAGATCCACCAGCAATAGTTTCCTTGAACTACACTGAAATAAATTCAGCATTGCTACGCTCTGCATCACCAGTGGCAATTCCCCAACAGTGTTAGATTTCACTTCAGAAGAATCCAGACACAAACATATAAAAATAGGCAGCAGAAAAACCCACATTGGCATGACTGGCAGGGAGGTGGGATGTTTTTATTTTATTTTATTTTTTTCTAAATGTCTAATTCTTTATTGCAATAATTCAGTGATGTCAGAGACTTGCTATAGAATAGGCAGCTGCATGCCAGGCATTCTGCTCTGAACTGCCGCTTTCACCTGGTAGGAATTCTTAAAAATTTTGTTGGAAACCACCAGCCTGCCTCAGCCAAAACTGCCTGGTGGCCTTTGCAAATGAGAGTCCTGTCTAGGAGAAAGGGTGCGAAAAAGGGCTTCAGGAAAGAAGGGATGCAGGAGGAACACTTCCCTTATCAGATGACCCTCTAAAAGACTCAGTCAAGGGAATGCTCCGCACCAAAGACAGTAGCTCCAGACTTCTCTGACAGTATTAACTGGAACTTCCAGTTCATCAGCCATACATAAAGACATGCTGAAAACGTGGCAAATTTGAGTGGAGCATTAACTCGTTTGGTAATTTGTGCTCTTATGGAATGCGACATCAGCAACAGGATCTGAGTTGCCTGGCACCTATTGCCTTTCCAATTAAGTAATTCTTAAAAGCTGCAAGTGCTCTCATGCAAATGTTATACGGGCAGCCTTAGGGTACTTGTAATTTCATTGCTATGGGCTGATCCTAGACAGATCTCAGCACTTTCAACTCTCATTGGAAACAGCAGTAGGATACTGCCTTATAGTCATGTGAAATGGGTCACATACAGAAATGTGATTGCTTTAAAAGCAAAAATGCAGAATGAGGGGACTGCAATACCCTCTCAGAAATCCGGAAAAACCCCGATCTACCTTTCATCTCCCTGCTTGTTCATACCAAGATACAAAACACAAAACCTTATGCCTCAAAATCTATCTACACTTTCTGTAGAGGATGTTGCTTTTATATAAAAATCCCTTCTTGCCTGTGATAAAGCACACTGCAGAAGACAGTACATATCAAGTACCCAAGCCCTATGTATTTGGGAAGTAAGAGACATCTCTTAGCATATAAGCCTACAGACCAATTCTGCAAATCTTCACTTCTATCTAGATTTTCTTGCTTGTAGAGTAAAATTCTACTTCTATGCCTCAAATAAGAATCAGCTCTGGGTTTAATTGCTTTTACTAATCCTGTTGTAACCAAACTAGCTACAAGTTGTTAAGCACATGTAGGTACACATGCACAAAAAAAGTATGGAAGTCAGAAAAGGAAGATCAAGAGCTGAATAAGTCTGCACAAGCACCTCAAGTGTTCAGGTCTGCTGGGCTACTCTCAGGCAAGTCTTTAGGGACCCTGCAAGCCAGAATCAGAAAGACACAGAAAATCTGTGTAAAATGCAGCTCAGCAGCAGATACACCCTGTAGTCAAGGTAGTCAAGCACAACTGAGTCTACACAGGCTTCTTTAATCCTTCCAATAAGACTGCATTTGTAGGTATTTCCTTCCATTTAATGAGCTTCCACTAAAAGGAGGTAAAAAAGATAATCCCACCAGTAATTTGCGTGTACTTTTGGGCTCACTTTGCAGCTGCAAAGTTTTCCTCACACACATCTATCTTCCTGATAGCACGGTAAAGAAGCGTACTTAAGAACACATTGCCACTTCTGGAGAGACAATTCCTCACACCAATTCCCAGTCGTAGAGATTTTATGTGTGAATGTATGAATGGTCAATGCTGGGTCAGACCGCGGGACACGTCTCCCTCTATCCTGCTCTCCAGCACAGGTCAAAAGCAGGAGCCTAGGGAAGAACAGAATAAGCACACAGTGCTTCTCCATGCATCCTCCATGTCTCTAGACAGGAACCTTCTGAACCAGGCACAGTTTCTGTGTACGTAGTAACCATGAGCTTATGCAGTCTTCCCTGAGCCTGCATAAAACTATCCAAACTGAGACTTTACTGATGAAGAAATCTTCACAGAATTAGTCATTACGGCTCCAAAAACTCACTTATTTTGTCTGTGAAATTAGGACTGCTCCCCACCCATATGAATCAGTTCACATTTGCAATTCATCACTGTCAACCCTCCTCTTTACCACCTCAAATAAAGTAAAGCCAGCTGGAAACATTGCTTTTCCAGGTCATTTACAAAATATCCCTGCAGCACCCCAGTGGTGACCTCCAGCCACCACAAGGGCTGCCCATTTGTTCACATCCTCTTTCCTGTCTTTGCACCAACTGTTTATTTATGACAGGGAACTCCCTTATTATGTCAGGGGCTGCTCAGGTGAGAGCTCCTGTTTAAGAGTTTCCTGAAATCAGAGTGCTAACTGTAAGCCAGACCTCTCAACATGCTTATTTAGGCCTTCAGAGAATTCCGACATTTTTTAGAGGCGTGACTTTCCATTACACAAGCCACATTGGCTCTTTCCCCCTATATTTATGCAGGTGTCCAATAATTCTACCTTGCTCTATTTTCTACTAATTCAGTTGGTAGTGGTCAAACTTCCTGGTCTGCAGCCCACAGATTTCCCCTAGAGCCCTCTTTAAAAAGTAGTGACCCATTTGATGCTGTCCAGTCCACAGGTATTAGCTTTCAGTGAGAAAGGAGAGGCCACCGTTAGCAGCACTGTCCCTGGGGGCTTCATCTGGTTTGGCAACTTGTTCCTGCCTGTTGTCTAGTTGTTCCATAACTTCTTACACAGACACTTAATTTTAAGCCAGATCCTTCAATGAGTTCTCAGCAAGGATTCCCATGCACCTTTCCTGTCTAGTGTAACCTCTTAGTAACCAGAAGTTAATAATGTATAGCTTCCTGGACAACAGCATGAGAAGCAGGAAAAAAAAAAATACCTTCTCAAAAGAAGAGTGCAGGCAGGAGCTAATATACTATAACTATAAAGTCAATCTCTCCACAGATAGACTTTGACACTATGTGCAGTCCTGTTAATACCTGAAAAGTATGGCAAAGTAAATGGTTTTATTCACCTTACTGAATGCTGCGGATGTCATTTTCTGCCAGACGTCCCTGCAATTCCAGTCCTCGCTCCTACTGCCTACTGGACATCTTGAGCTTTTCGGAATGAAACTTACTCATCCTTCTGTAAAGAACAAGGAAGATAAAAATGAGGGAAACTGATGAAAAGTCATGAAAAACCCAAAAAGCCCTCACAGCAAAACTACATTCCGCTTTGGTTGTCTCTCTTAAACCATTTTGTTTTGTTCTGGTTTTGTCCCACCCCCAAAATTCTAGCTGTTATTTTTAACTGAGTGCCAAACTTGCATATTAAATGAAAGCAAACAAGTTAATAACAGTGACAAGGGATGTTAGCTAGCTCAGCCTCCTGAGATTTGAGTTAGGCAAGCCAGCACTGAGTTAAGCAAGGCAGCATTTACCGAGGCCACAAACACTGATTAGGAAATAGACGTAAGGATTTGAGATCATCTGCAGTTCAAGTTTTTTCTTTATAATTACATTATTTGTAGCAAATGTACATCGGGAATATTGGGCTAATCATCCAAGAGCTATAAGTCTTATTTTTTTCCACCTATATGAC